TCGGCGTCGTCGTTGTCATCGTCGTCATCGTCGCTTTCGTCGTTGTCGGCGTCGTCGTCGTCGTCATCGTCGACGTCGTCGGCGTCGGCGTCGGCGTCGGCGGCGTCGGCGTCGGCGGCGGCATCGTCGTCGTCGGCGGGGGCGTCGGCGTCGAGGTCGGCTTCTTCGTCGTCGTCGTCATCATCGTTGTCGGCGACGTCGGCGTCGGCGTTGGCAACGGCGTCGTCGTCGTCGTCGTCATCGTCGTCGTCGTCGGCGTCTTCGGCGTCGGCGTCGTCGGCGTCGGCGTCGGCGTCGGCGTCATTATCGCTGTCGTCGGTGTCAGCGTCGTCGTCGTCGGCGGCGCCGTTGTCGTCGGCGTCGGCGTCGGCGTCGTCGTCGTCGTCGTCCTCGTCATCGTCTGCGTCGTCTTGGTCGTCGTCGTCGTTATCGTCGGGTCGGCGTTGGCGTTAGCGTCGGCGGCGTCGTCGGCGGCGGCGTCAGCGTCTGCGGCGTCGACTTTGTCGTCGTCGTCAGCGTTGTCGTCGTCGACGTCGTCGGCGTCGGCGTCGACGTCATCGTCGTCGTCGTCGGCGTCGTCGTCGTCGTCGGCGTCAGCGTCGGCGGCGTCAGCGTCGGCGTCGTCGGCGTCGGCGTCGGCGTTGGCGTCGTCATCATCGACGTCGTCGTTGTCGGCGTCGGCGTCGTCGTCGCCGTCGGGGTCGGCTTCGTCGTCGTCCTCGTCGTTATCGTCGTCGTCGTCGGCGGGGGCGGCGGCCTCGTCAGCGTCGGCGTCGACGTCGGCGTCGGGGTCGGCTTCGTCGTCGTCGTCGTCGTCGTCATCATCGTCGTCGGCGGCGTCGGCGTCGACGTCAGCGTCCACGACGGGTTTGGCGGCGTCGTCGGCGGCGTCGTCGTCGGCGTCGTCGTCGGCGTCCGGGTTTGCGCCGTCGTCGTCGTCGTCGTCGTCGTCGTCGTCATCGTCGTCGGCGACGTCGGCGTCGGCGTCGTCGTCGTCGACGTCGTCGTTGTCGTCGTCGTTGTCGTCGGCTTCGGCGTCGGCGTCGTCGGCGTCGGCGTCGGCGTCGGCGTCTTCATTGTCGTCGTCGTCGTTGTCGTCTTCGTCGTCGTCGGGGTCGGCGTCGGCGTTTGCGTCAGTGTCGGCGTCGGCGTCGGTTTCCTTCCGTCTTCACCTCTGCCTGATTTTGTGCCCCTCCTGTCTCCTCCTCGTCGATTCTCCTTCCGTGCTCGAGTGGCGGACATATTTGAATCTTCAGTTTCAGTCACAGTGATAATTTTTGCGAGTCGGGGGCTATAGCATGTTGTTTCCTTTCCTTATCCCCTTGATCTGCCGACATTTCTGGTACGGTTTCTGGTGATTTCGTATCGACTTGCCTTCGCATGGTGAACCTTTTCTTCGGTTCGGTGCTCTCTCCTCTCCTCTCCTCCTCCTCCTACTCGTCCTCCTCCTCTTCCTCCTTCTCCTCCTGCTCCCTTTCGCGGTGAACGCTGCGAGGTCACCAGTGTCTATGTCCAGCGCCCCTGGATGCATAGTGGCCCGTTCTCCCGCGCCTCCATACAAGCAAATCAATCGATCATACAAGCCAACGTTCGCAGTGCAGCCTCTCCACCTGGCTTGGCGCACGGCGCTCGAAGTAGCTAGGTAGATTTGTCGTTTCACGGTTGCGCCACCGAGCTTGTCATCGTTCTGATGCGTCCAAGAAAAGTAGTTCTTGAATTGGAACTACTGCTTGTCTATTCCGTGCTGGGGGCACGTGCAATGGACACCCTTTTCTAGCCCAAGCTCTCGCTCGTCATAACGCATAGCGCTTTTCTACTCTTCCCTGTTGCATTGCTTCGCTTGCCCATGTCACAGGCTCTCACGGTACATGGAGTCAGAGTGGGTTGCCCTTGATATGCTCGCGGCTTCACCTGGGTCCAAACAGAAGTGCGGCAATCTGAATTGGCCCTTGCTTTTCAAACGCACTCGCGGCATCTTACGTCTGTATCCCGAGCTGATTTGTTTTGATGCTGCGACGAGTTTCGCCGCATACCATGGAATGATTGCACACATCCAGGCTGTTAGCAAGGACGGCGATTGCGTTGCTCCCTGAAAGGGAACCGCTCCGGGGCATATGGCGAGACATCTATCTTCCACTTCGACTCGAATTGCGAAATTCCGAGTCGCATCCCTGCAGTGCCTTTTTGTTGTGCCCCGTTTGCTTCAGAGACTCACTGCTCACTGGAAAGCCTCTTCTCTGGGATGGTGGCGTGTCTAGTTGGGTGGTGATCCAGAGGCAAACCCATCACTGAGTCAAGTTTCCGGCTCCTCACCGCGATCTATATTTGTGCCATGTTTTTGGCAGGACCGCGAATTGGTCCCTCCATGTGTGATCGTGTCAATGCTTCGCACTGTCTGCAACGCTTGGTGCAACTCCACGCATTTCGGCGGAGCCCCTCAATTCGTTCACTCCCCTTGCTTGTCCAGCAGCCGCGAAGCCGCTGCTGCCGCTCCTGCCTTGCCTCCCTCCCTCCTTCCGCTCCGCCCCTGGCCTCTCTCGTGCTGTTGTTGCTCTCGGCCTGGCTGTTTTCTGTGGCCCTGCTCTCGTTGGCATCGCTGTTGGTTTCGACCTCCGTGTGCCGTGGCGGGGCGAGGGGGCGCCTCTTGCGTATCCGGGGGTGGAACTGATGTGACTGATCGGGTTGGCAATTCCGTGGACGCTTCGGGGCGCCCACACAGGCAAGCTTCTCACAGCCGGTACGTTTTGTGCCGGCATGCTATGCTCGGATGGGGTGGTTTAGCTCCTTACGGGGTCACCCTCAGAGAGCATCTTTTCACAATCAGCCTGTCTTGCGCCGAGATGGCTATATACGGAATGAGTAGGTTCGCTTCCTGTGTTCGCTCAGCAGTGCTCTTGGGTTGATCGTCCTCCTGTTGCCCTGCTCTCGATGCTGGCAGTGTCTGCTCGGGATAGCGTCCCCTTAGTGGCAGCGGACTTTCCTTGCCCCTGGACGGGCTTTCTTTCGTCCCCTGCTCTTGGCCATCCATTCTCTTCTCTTCGAGCGCGTGTACTCTTCCTCTTTTCCCTTCTCCTCCTCTTCTTCTCCTCTTGGCCCCCCTCCTCCTCCTTCATCTCTCTCCTCCCCCATCCTCCTCTTCTTCTTCCTCCTCATCTTCCTTCTCCTCCACCCTCCTCCTCCTCCGCCTCCCCTTTCTCCTCCTTGTCGTCGTCCTCCTCCTCCTCCTCTGGCGGTCCGCGGGTCCGACCAGCAGAGCTCTCTGGTCGGGAGCCGGCTCACTCGCCCACCGCCTCTCCAGCGAGGTTGTTCCCCAAGGAGCGACACGCGAACGGCGGCGGCTTCCAGGGTGAGGGTGGAGGGGGTGGCGACGGCCAGAGCCTACTGAACCACAGATACTCGGGAGGTATCAGGCGCATCACCAGACGTGCCCGACGGCTGGGCCGAAAGATTCCTCTGCACTTTGTTCTCCTGAAGCCAAACAGCCCAGCAATTGGATCAAGGGCCAGTCGCATTGACAGTATGGATCTCGGATTCACGCCGCGAGCATTCGCTTCGACGTTTTCCAACAGCTACACAGACATAGGGCCCCGTGTCATTCAAAATGGGGCTCTGGCCTCATCGCCGCGCACATTTGTTTTAGAGGTTTCCTGCAGCTTCGAGGGTGGATGGCTGGTGGGTTTAAAGGTTGGCCTCTCTCCTTAGCGCCGCGCGCATTCGTGTTTGACTCTGTCAACACTTTTACGGGTTGAGGCTGGCCGCGTTTCCAACATGGGGTTCTCGGCTGAGATTTCCTCACGTTCCATGAACCTGATCCTCACGCGGTTAAGCAACTACACTGATGCAGGGTGGTTCATCAGCCACACGGAGTTCTCGCGTGAGACCTCCACGAATTTCGGGCCAGCTTTTCGAAGTCGTACACCGCCTGCACGGATGGGGGGGGGGCAGATTCTTTCCACAAGTTGATGGGCCTGTCTTCCACCACTATAAGTTGGAGGGGGGAGGGGGTCCGCCTCCCCCTCTTCTTCCTCCTCCTCACCCTCCACCTCCTTCCCCCCATTAACTTATGGTGGTGGTGAAAAGCAGGCTGATCACAAGCGGGCTGTCTTGGACAGTTCCTTGGACTGTTGCATCCATCCATGTTGCGCTTCTTCCAGGTCGAAGGACGGAGTGTGCATCAGCTGCACAGCGGGGTGTCGCTTGCATGGAAGGCCTAAATTGCGTCTGTCCCTCTACAGGGAGAATGTTCAAACATAGTCAACACATAGTCTGGGGACGATTTTTTGACTATGTATGCCCATTTGGGGAGGATTTTTTGAGTATCTGCTATTTTTCGCCCCAAAGCCCCCTGTAGGGGGACACGCTCGACCTGATGGATGGCCCACTGGGCGCTCGTCAGTCAAGGAGGGCGCTTCGCGCAGTGGAGAAGGCAGTTTTGCAGGGACTCACGAGTAGGGGATGTTTGGGGCGGGAGTGTGCACTGCGGCAGCGTCGACGCATCCTGGGGTTAGTCTTGTCCTCCTCCCTCCCTGTCGCACCTTTTCCTCCTCCTCCTCCTCCCCCTGCGCGAGGAGGCCGTCGTCGTCGTCGTCGTCGTCATCGTCGTCCTTTTCCTCAATCATTTCTCCTCCTCTGTCTACTGCTCCTCCGTCTCTTGCTCATCCGTCTGTCCTCATCCTTCCGCTCGTGCTGCTGCTGCTCCTTCTGAGCGTTGAGGCCGTGCCCCTCCACCCATCCACCCACCCTTCCTCCCTCATACCATCCTCCTCCATATCCTCTTCCTCCTCCTCCATATCCTCCTCTTCCTCCTCCTCCTCCTCCTCCTCCTCCTCCTCCTCCTCTTCCTATTCCTCCTCCTATTCCTATTCCTCCTCCTCCTCCTTCCTCCTCCTCCCCTTCCCCCCCCTCTCCCACCCCTCCCTCCCCTTCGTTCTCCAACTCCTCCTCCCCCTCCCCCATCCCCCCATCCCCCATCCTCCTCGGGGTGGCGGGCGGGCGGGCAGGTGCGGCGCCGGCGTCCGGCGGGCAGTTCTCCTTCGTGGGCGCAGTGGGCAGCAAGCCAGGCGCCGCGCCCTCCTTCGGGATGAGAGACGTGGGGAGGATGGGAAAGAGGATTTTTTGACATGGACCTTCAGAGCACGCCAAGTTACTAACATTGTGGGATGCCGCACTCTCTCTCTCTCTCTCTCTCTCTCTTTTCCCTCTCTTAGACAGCAAGGTCAAACGCAGTGTGACGCCTCGTTCACGCGGGCGCGACCGCCCGCGCACGCAGGCGCCATAGCCCGTAGCCGCAGCGAGAAGCAGAGCTGAAAAAGGGGGCAAAGCGGCCGAGCTACACGCCGCAATGCCATTTTCCGAGCCGCGCCCGCGAGCCGTGCCCGCTCAGATAACGAAACGCCCCCCGGGTCGTGCCGCCCGAGGCCACCTGAGGGGCACCTCTCCCTCGGGCGACCGTGCACCTCCGCGCACGCCAGGGCGGGGGCACCCTGGCCGTGGGAAAGGCTTCCCCTCCTTCTGAGACGACCTCCTCCTCCTTTTTTCTTTCTCCTCCTCCTCCTCCTCCCCCTCCTCCCCCTCCTCCTCCTCCTCCCCCCCCTCCCCCTCCTCTTCCCTTTCCCCTCCTCCTCCCCCTCCCCTGCGCACGCCAGTGTGTGGATCTCCCAGTGGGCCCCCCGCCCGAGCCCAGGCGAGGTTCCTGGTGGGCCACCGCAGGTGGTTGGAAAAGGTGGCGACGAGGGGCAATTTTCTCTCCCCCCTGGCCTCTATTGGCGAGGAGAAGGAGGAGGAGAAGGAGGAGGAGGAGGAGGAGGAGGAGGAGGAGGAGGAGTAGGAGGAGTTCTCGAGGAGGAAGGGTTCACAGGCTCGACGAGAAGATGCACGGACGGCCAAGATCAAACTGGGCGCCGCGCCCCACTTCACGGAGGAGGGAGGAACAGGGATGATGAGGAGGGAGGAGGACCGGTGCAAACCCAAGATTCATCAACGATGTCGGAATAAACCCTCCCTCTAAGCTCCCTCCTCACAGGCCCCTCACAAGGGTTCATTTCCATTGAGGGAAGTGCCCAGGTGGGAGAAAACCGCTTGGAGATCCTGAAGCGTGCCAAAGCACTATTCTCGGGACTCCAAGCCACGAATTAATGTGATTGTTGTGTGTTAGCGGTCTTCAACCGTGACAGAGCACCATTCCAGGGATTCCAGCGCCGCGAGTCAACGTAACCTTTGCGCCCTGACAATCCTGAAGCGTTCCAAAGCGCCATTACTTGTACATTAGCGTGGGAGCCCTTGAAACTCTTGCATTTTTAAGATGAGTGTGCGCGGCGTTGAAGCGAGAGCTCTGTTTTGAAAATAGCCGCCCTCCACCTGTGAAGTGCATGCAAATGTTTGAAACGAAAATGCGCGGCGCTAGTGCGAGAAGCACATTTTGAAAAGGAGCCGCTGTCCATCCGTGAAGCGCACGCGGATGTTTAGGACGAGTTTGCGCGGCGCTAAGGCGGGAACCACATTTCGGAAACGGCCGCCCTCCATTTGTGAAACTGTTGCCAACTTCGGAGCTTCAGCATACATGGTAAGGAAGCCTCAGGCCAAATGCCCAGGCCGCTCTTCTGACTGGCCTCGGGGTGCGACAACGAGGGGTTATCTGTAAGGGCGAGGAATGGAGGAAAGAGGACAACATGAGACTCATGATGCGACGCCCGCCTCCCCCAAGTCGCCCTCACAAGTCCCTGGAAGCGTCCCCCGTGAATGACGAGAGCCCAGCGGGCCTGCCACTCGGGCGAGACCCCGTTTCGTGGATGGGTCCGCCATCCACTGCTTGGCCGAGTAAGGCGCGCAAAGAAGCAGGATGTTTAAGCTGGAAGAGCCGTCCAGCAATGACACGATTTTGACAAAAAGGTCATTCGCGACCCAGTTCGCCCAGGATCTCTCCCGGGACCTCAACTTCGCGAATCGACGTCAGCGTAGCATCCCGACGATCCTGAATCATGCCAAACACCATTCTTGGGACTTCGATCGCACGAATCTTCGAAATTGTTGAAAGTTTTGAAGACGCATGTGCACGGCGCAGAAGCGAGAACCATCCGCCTTCCATCCATAAAACCCTTACGGACTTGTGGGACGAGTGCGCGCGGCCCTGATGCGAGAGCAACATATTGAAAAGGATTTGTCCTCCATCCGTGAAGCTGTTGCAAAGTCCGAATTTCCGGAACATAGGTGGCGAGGACGCCTCAGGGGCCTCAGGCGAAACGCCAGGCGCGCCCTACCGACACGCCTTGTGGTGCAACGTGGGGAGCATTCACCAGGGAGAGAACACAGGGGGCAGGAGCAGGAGGATAACGATTCGGGACTATCCGGGGTTGAGCAGCACGATCGCACGCTACTGCTGGCCGGGCCTGTCATACGCGGCAGGTTTAGTCGTCGGCTTGCACGGAAGTGCGACGCAAGGCGCGGCCTGGACTCTGTTCTTCTGCACGGGCTCGCTGGAGCATACTGAGCAGTGCGGGATTTCTCGCGGGAGGGAGGGGTGGTAGGGGGGGAGGGGGGTGCAGACCAGCGCAGTGGCCGATACGCCCACTGGCGATAGCATTTGGGATTGATTGGGGCTGCCCTTCTCGCAAGGCCCGACGCTGTCGTTTTTCTCGGTGGCTACGATAAGTTTTTAGAACCCCGCCCCCATAGTTGGAAACCTTCTTGGCGGACGAGGGCCCGACCAAACAGCGGAAAACAATTGCTTCTCCGCGGCACCCGCCGCACAACAACGACGACGATCAGGAGCAGTTTGAGATAATTTGCGATTCATAAAGAAGTGCAGTTCTCTTGCAGCAGTCCTGATGAGAAGATGCTCAAACTTCCTCTCGCGTGCGGGGTAGTCCACGGTGGGGAAAATAACCACCCAAGAATATCCAGCCCGCCGAACATTATTGGGAAAGTCGCACCCAGTCGCCGCAGGCGCCGACCAGGCGCCAGCCTCAGTTCCGCCAGCAGCAATCGGCAGGCGAGTTTGAGAAGACTTGCAAGTCAAACCGATCTGAATTCCCATTGCAATCCTCATGGGAAGATGCTCCTCATGGTCTAGAGTGGGTTGTCCCCTGGGAAGACGAACCCTGAACATGATCCTACCCGCCCAACAATGGACGGAACATAATCACAGCCACGACGACGACGACGGTGGCGACATCGTCGTCGTCGTCTTTATCGGCGTCGTCGTCGTTGTCGTAGCCCAACGAGACGGACTGCGCCAGGGTCTGACCATCACGAGGGCCTCCCCGTCCTTCCTCTCCTCGTCTTGCCTCTGGTCCTCCGCCTGTTCACCCTCCTCTTCCTCCTCCTCCTCCTCTTCTCTTCGTCTTCCTCTTCCTCTTCCTCCTCCCCTCCTCCTCCTCTTCCTCCTCCTCAGGAATGTGACTGGGAGGAACAGCAGGAGGAGGAGGAGGAGGAGGAGGAGGAGGAGGGGGGGAAGGACAAGCTATGTGCGCTCGCGTCGTATCTGACGTCCTACCCCTCCCTCCCATCCCTTACCATGGCGCCGATTTTCTCTATCCGCGGACGCGTGTCGTAGCGGACCTGTGGCTCCGCGCGCGCGTGCGTAGTGGGTGGTGGTGCGCGTGCGTGCGTGCGTGTGTGCGTGGTTGTGGTTGTGGTGGTGGTTGTGGTTGTGGTTGTGGTTGTGGTTGTGGTTGTGGTGGTGGCTGTGGTGGTGGTGGTGGTGGTGGTGGTGGTGGTGGTGGTGTGTGTGTGTGTGTGCGTGCGTGCGCGTGTGCTGTGGCATGGCACGGGAAATGACGCCAGCGCTGCAGCGGGAGCACGAGTCGAAACGGGCGGAAGCGCGGAAATGAGGCCAGCGCTGCAGCGGGAGCACGATTTGGAACGAGCGGAAGCACGGAAATGAGGCCAGCGCTGCAGCGGGAGCACGATTCGGAACGAGCGGGGCCCGAAAATGAGGCCGGCGCCTTTTGAAAAAAATGCAGGCGAAAACCCAACTCCCGGGAATCCTGTGTGTAAAAAAGCAGGACGCGGGGGGGGTCGGCTACTCCCAGCACGCCATCAGGGGAAGAGGGAGAGTAGTATTCATATTGAGTAATTGTGGAGGACGAGGAGGACGAGGAGGTGGAGGAGAAGGAGGAGGAGGAGGAGGAGCAGGATGAGGCGATCTTATTTCCCACCAAGAGAAACTAAAGACCTTCTACGCTTACTTGGGGCTGCTTCTGGTGCCATTGCCTTGCGCATACCTTTCTTTTTGTTCGGTTCCTAGGGCTCGTGGTTTATGATGGCCTTGCCCGTCAATGCTTCGATAGCCAAGGCCCGGTGAAGAACTCGACCGCGGCTCACATCGACCCTGGCCCGACCTTCGAAGGCGCTCATGCTCCTGCCGCAGCGGATGTGGACCTGCTCCTTCGCTGCGGTGGCTTCCAGCATCGCCGGCGAAAAGTTGCCGGCTTGACCCACCCGTTTGTCACCAGTTGTAGCACAATGTTTTCTGGCGGCGCCTGCCTCGTCAGGATACGCGTGCCAGCTTTCATTGCGGAGGAGGAGGAGGTTGACGGGGATAAGTAGAAGGAGGGGAAGGGAGGAGCAGGAACCGCAGGAGAAGGGGGGCCCCTGTCAGGATCACGCCCGAATGGGAAGTTCACCAGCTCTATGAAGGCCCTCTCCGAGTCCTACAAGAAGGGCGACCTCTCGGAGGACAGCTCCCCGCCACCTCGCGCCACCCTCTTTTTAGGCTGGGGGGGAGGACGGGAAGGAGGTGAAGGAGGTGGAGGAGGAGGGGGTGGAGGACGAGGAGGAGGAGGAGGAGGAGGACGAGGAGGAGGAGGAGGAGGGAGGGAGGGGGGTGTAGGAGCACAATGATGAGGCGGAGGAGGAGGAGGAGGAGGAGGAGGAGGAGGAGGAGGAGGAGGAGGGGATCGAGAACTGTCCTCCTCCTCCTCCTCCTCCTCAGCCTTCTTCCTCCTTGTCCCTCCTCTCCCCTCCTCCTTTTTGCTCCTCATCCCCCCTTTTCCTCTTCCGTCCTTGTTGTTGTCCTGCTCTTCCTCCTCCCTCTCCTCCTCCTCCCTCTCCTCCTCTTTCTTCTTCCTCCTCCTCCTCTTCACTCCGTTGCCATTTTGGCTCAAGATGTCTGTTTCCGCGGCAGCAAGGTGGATACCGCTAGTCCGCGGCCATTTCCATATCTCAGTGAGGTCCTGGCGGAGCAGGACCCACCTCCCGCAGACGGTGAAACGAGTACGCCGTGGAGCTTCACGTTCTTGCCCGTCGATCTGCTCATCATTTCATGGGCGAGCGTGGCCGAAGTGAAGGTGTTCATAGCCCCGGAGTCAAGAACGAACTCAATACTCGCAACCACCGCGCGCCTGATACTCCCCGGGCTTCTGATGTTCTACATGGTGGACGCGATGATTACCCCACTCCTGGGACTGTGTGCGCCAGCAGTGCTGGCTCTGGTGGCTCTCGGCAACGAGTTCGGCCCGAAGAAGACGAAGCTGACCTCTCAGATGACGATGACAGCAGCGGCGCTTGCCTCGGCCAGCTTGTGCGCACCCAGGTCACCGAGCAGCTCAAGTCTACTCGCCAGTGCCTCTTCGAGGATATCTCCAGCGTCGTCTCCACCACTGTTGAGGACAAGGTTGCCAGCCTTGCCGCCGCCCTGGACGAGCAGGCTTCGTGTAATAGTGCTATTGGTGCCGCTGTGCGTGACATTACACGAATAACTGGGGACGCAGCTAGGACGTTGCGGGCAACAAGAACGATGGCCCCCATCGGCAAATGAAGGAGCAGCTTGATGCCCATCATGTTCGAATTCGTGGAGCGGGAGCCAGGTTGGACGAGTACGACACCGCCCCCGCTAACATCCGTGAGTAAATCGAGCGGATTCGTGAGGGCCTCGCCCTCGCCAACACAGCCTAAGCCCGTCCCCAGTTCCGCAGGGCCCGAGCGCGAGGTTGACCATGCCATCATCCCAGTTTTCACATCCAAGCCCGCCAGCCTCAGCAAAGTCAAGCAGGTCCTCGCGGATTGGACTAGTTACCACTGTTGGATTGCAGGCCGCCAATCATGGCATCAAATCGACAGGACATGTCTCCCAGCGCTTCTCAGTCAAGTTCAATGTGCAGCTTGGCCAGCAGCTCGCAGGGCGGTCGGAGTTCTGGACAATCAAAGATTCAGCCCTGGGCAGTGGGCGCGTTCCCAAACAGACGCAGCAGATGGCTCGTAGTGTGGCCTCCGCATCGGTTCAGACAAGAGCTCCAAGCAAATCAAGACGGAGGTGCACTGCGAAACAGATCAGAGAAGCCTTCCGCTCGACGCACCCCACGGAAAATATGCGTCGCTCGTGAGCGCGGCTACATCATGGCTGGTTGGGACCCGAGTGTCCGGCTCATCCCCTCCGCTGGCCATGGCACGACCGACCTCCGATGGGCAAACAACCGCACTGCCGAGCTTCAACTCGACCGTCAGCGAATGTAGTAGCTGGCGCAACCAATCGTTGTTCTCCAGACTTTGCGGAATTGTTGTCTCGCACGCTGGTGGAAGCAATCTGTGGCTCCAAGACGAAACCACCGACGTTCAGTTCCTGGAATACTGGGGCTCTTCTTCAAAGCATAGGCGTCAACGCACAGAAGACATTGAACTACCTCAAGCGAGCTCGCGTCCAAAACGGGCTCGTGACATTCCGGGAACTACATTCTAAAACAAATGGTTCACGACGCGGTTTCCTTCAGAAAGTCCAGCGGGGCTTCGAGTTGGCATCCCGCGGTGCTCCTACATGAGGGCGGCGTTCCGACCAATCTCCCCGGTACATTCAAGGCTTCATCCTCCGCGCCGCCGCGCCTGCCGCCAGCCCGCGGGGCCGCGCAGCACGCGGCGGTCGTCCCCGGCTGCAATCAAGGGGGTGGGAAGGGGTGGCCGCCGCCGGCTTCGCCATCCTCCAGGACCACTCTATCAGTCTGGACGCCCGAAATGGGTACTGAAAGAATGGGTACAATGCCCAACAACAATTCCTGTTCATTTTCAACAGGATTCGCTGTCACGCCGCCGCGGCCTGTGTCCATTCGAGACAGAAGGCTGCCTGCCCAACAGCGGCCGCTGTTGGCTTGGGACAACATTTGTTGTTGGGCATAGTGCCCATTCTTTCCGCGCCCATCTCGGGTGTCCAAACTCTATCAGGGTCCCAGTTCCTGACGTCAGCCGCGAGAAGTGGTTCCAAATGGCGTTGGCCGCAGGTGACGATGTGCTTCGTCCTCGTCAAGACGAAGTCTCCGAGCCGCCCCTCGCCCTCGGCGAGCTCGTGCGCGACGGCGGCCCTGGCTCGACTCACCATGCAGCCGGGCGCCTTCGACAACTGCGTCGCCGTGCCCGTCAGGGCCTGCCACCTCTTCGGCGGCACGAGTGCCGACCAGGCCCGCGCGCTCGGGGGCCGCCGCCGCGGCGGCAGGCGCGCCTAGTCGCGGAGACCTCTTCTCCTCCACGCCGGGCTCCTCCTCCGCCCCCCCCCCTGGCCGGCGCGTTCTCTGCTCGGCTGCCCTGGCGCGCCTGCCGGGCGCGACGCCGCCGCGGCTGCTTCCGCGCGGGGGCCCAGGGCCTGGCGCCCGTCGTTAAGACCCCCACCGTGCACGTGCATCGCAGACTGGTGTCCAGGGGCAGACCTGGCGCCCAGGCAGACGGCGCCGCCGGCCTCCGCCCCCCGTCTGTTTCCACCGACGAACGGCGTGGATGGTGATGATGCACTCGGCTCGCGCCGCCAGCCGCGAGGAGTCTGGCGCCCCTCCTTCAGGTTCTCACCACCCACCAAACCACCCCAACCCAACCCGAAGGTCCAAATCTGTCCTCGATTTCCAGTGGGGGGGGGGGTCGGGGAACGTTGGAAAAACACATGGAACCCGTACCCCCCCCCCAACCCGAAATTCGGGTCAAATTCGGGTCTTCGGGTTGGGTTGGGGTGGTCTGGTAGGTAGTCAGGTTCCCATTTGGGGGTATCTATCGCACCCTGTCGTCCAGGCAGCAGGCGCCTGGTTTCGGCCCATCGTCTGTTCTGGTCATCGGGCTCCCATGGGCACAGTTCGCTTCGCTGTGGCCCGCCGCTTGCCATCGCCGATTCGCGCGTTTGCCGAGTCCGCGACGCGTGGGCGATGAGCGGCGCGGCGTCGAGCGCCTTCGCTCGCCGTCGGGGCTGGGCGGCCTTCAGGGGCAACTTGGTCCTCGCGTCGCAAGAGCGAGGGCCGCTTGGGCGGGGGCGATGTGGGCAGCGCCAATCGGGTGGCGGCGGGGGGTGCAATAGTTCGCTCGCGCGAAGTATTGCGCGAACTCTTGCCCGAACTATTGCCGGCGGCATGCGAACTATCTCCGAGGGCGTGAGCCGCTGCGTTTGAAAGAAAGCACGATTGCACCCGCGCGGAATCGCGGCGTCCAGGCCGCAACATATTGCACCATTGCAAAAACTATTTTCATGCCATTGCGCCTATTGCGGGCCCTCCATCTGTTTAGTTCCCACCAATCCGGCTTCAATGAGCTGGGCGTGCGTCGCGACGAAGCCAGCCAGAGCGTCGGGCCAGCCAGGGCGTCGAGCGGGGCGGCCTTCAGGGCAGCGTGGCCTTCGCATCGCAACCGTGGATGACACCAAAGATCGGAGGCTACCAAAAAACTTAGTTGGCCCCCCGAGCCCGACCTCAGGCCCATTAGCTTGATTTGAGGCGCCCCGGCAGCCGTCGAAGTCATCCTTCTTGAATCCGATTTTCTCGCCGTTCTCAAGAGTCGAGAGAGAACGACCCAACCCCTCACCCACCAGGATGACTTTTGACATTTTTCGGAGTGCTTGTGGACTCAATCGGTTCCGGTTTTACGAGTCGTTTTGTAAACCTTTCTTCGTTTTTACGATGATTCAAATGCTCTGTTGCACGTGCGCGATGGCGCGATCTGAGTAATTTCCCAGGCAGTTTCGCGCGCGACAGTTTTTATTTAGAAGTAGTTGTGGGTATGGATTGAACCTGTTTTTGGTTTAATCGAATGTTTTCCCTCCCGGCCCTCGGTGGTTGCATGTGTCTCAAGTTGCCAGGGCCCTCTCTTGGGGCGCATGCAGCTGACGACGGTCGTCGGGCCACAGTCTCTCAGTCTCTAGAGAGGAGCTTCGAAATCATAACATGTGACGTGGTGGGCGTGGGGGTGGCTTGGATCGCTTTTAGGGGGGATCTGGAGATGTACGCCACGGCGTGGCCAGCCGATGCGACAGACGCGCACCCGGCCGCATGCCTCTCCAGTGACCGACCCCCGTGCAGCCGGAGCCGCATGCCCCCCGCCCTCCCTCCCATGAACGTTCGGTTTCGCCTATGGGGGGGCCTGTCGCCGATTTATCGCCGACTCCAGGTCGATTCCTCCCCCGCCATGAGCCGGTCTCCACCCTCGCTCTCGATCAGGGGGGGGGCCCGCACCGAGTGGCGAGTTCCCGTGCGGCGCCCGCAGGACCGCTCACCACCACCGCGTGTACGGGGTGGGGAGCTTTGGCTTGCCGTGCCGCTCCGCCGGTTCTGGCCCACCATGCTTCGGCACGACACGCGAACCACGTCCTGGCCCCCGAACGTCAATGTCCCGAGCCTTTCGAAGCCTCCCGCCTGGCGGAGGGGAACGACACGCTGTCTGCTTGCATGCCGTAGCGTGTTCCTGGGGCCGCCGCCGCGACACGGTTAGCAAAAGTTCCCGACCGTGGGGATTTTGGTGTTTTTCCAGAGGAGGGGGGCAGGTCCGGAGGCCTCCCCCGAAGACTCCAGAGGTCAGCCAGTACACACCCAGAGATCTCTGGAGATCTCGGGGGTTCGACTTTAAGGCCTCTGGAGAATTGCACGTCCAGAAGCCTCCGCTCGCCTTGTGCGGCGCCCAGCGCGATGGCAATGGTGCTGATCGCCAGGCCCGATGGCACTGCTGACGACGGCCGCTAGGCCCGAAGGTCCGATGATGATGACGAAGGGGACGATGACGGCGAAGGTGAAGAGGACGTGTCAGTGGCGTCGACGATGTCGGCGGTGATGGTGACAGTGATGACGAGGACGATGAAGACGGTGCGGATGCAGACGACGGTGACTGCGATGAATAGTATGATGAGGATGAGGACGCCGATTATCATGGTGATGATGAATGAAAACGCTGACGATGACGAGAACGATGACGACAAGCTGGAGGGCGAGGGGACCCCGCCCCGCAGGAAGAGTTCCAGCAAAAGGCCGCCGCCGTGGTCGGCCATGTCCTCAGCCGTCGCCCGCCCGTCTGCTGATCTTGGCTCGACGAACGACTTGCCGGGGGCAGGACAAGGACAACGATAATGATGAGACGGAAGGATGAGGGAGGAGGTATCCGTAGCTGTGATAGTGGCAGTGGCAGCCACAGCAGCAGCAGCAGTAGTTGCAGCCGTAGTAGTAGTAGTAGTAGTAGTAGTAGTAGTAGTAGTAGTAGTAGTAGTAGTAGTAGTAGTAGTAGTAGTGTAGTAGTAGTAGTAGTAGTAGTAGTAGTAGTAGTAGTAGTAGTAGTAGTAGTAGTAGTAGTAGTAGTAGTAGTAGTAGTAGTA